GGGAAGGCCTGAAGGAATGTTGTCCATGGGATTGCAATGGGTTGGACATGACTTTGCAACTAACAACAATGACAAAGCAAACACAAATTTGTGACTTCTTGTCCACTTGTCAGAGGAATAATGGAATGGAGCCAGAAGATTATGAACAACTGCTTTGCTGTGTTGCCTTCAATCTTGAAGCCAGAAATAGGTAATGCTTCCTTAAATCTTGTCATTCTCACAGTATATCCTTAAGACACACACATACTCCATACCTCTAAGTTACAACATTTTAAGGCTGTAATTGGTGGTCCCCTTGGTGAAATTCCATCTCACTCACCATTAGCTGCAACCTGAAAAGCTACCTTGAATTGGCATACACAATACTCTAATTACTCTATACACTGCATTTTTTCTCTTTGTTCTGGGACAAGCAGGTTATATGGATTAGCACTATGTGATTTAATAGTACAAAGCTCTAGATTAGAGCTATCTCAATTACTTAGTTACTGCAGGGTTACCATCTAAGGGATATCTGTAGTAAAGTTTTAAAATGCAACAATATTACTTAATTTTGAGAAGGAGAGGGCAAAGACAATAGAACCAGTTTTATTTTTCAATGGACTCAACAGCAGATTTAAAATTTGAAAACTGACATTTCTTTTTCATCCAACTTCATTGTTATAAAATCATATAAATATTAATAAGTAATGAAAATGTTGAGCTTTCTCTGTTAAAATAACAAATACCTTTTTCTTTCCAAATTAATTAGAGCTCTACCATGAAAGTCAGTTGGGTGACCTTGGGCCAGTCACTTTCTCTCCATCCAACTCATTTCACATGGTTGTTGTAGTGGGGTAAAAGGAGGAGAAAGGGGTATTGGATATATTCTCTGTCTTGAGTTATTTGTAAAAATAATAAAAGTAGGATACAAGCAAACAACACACATATTTTTCATTACATAATGAAATAATATAAATCCTGATTATGTCAATCCTGCAACAATGTCATAAAATTGTTCCATCTTACTTTTGACAAGTTTGTAAAGCTTCTTTCATTGTACACAGTCCCATTTGGATATCCTGTTGTTCAAATGTCATTGCTGCTTGAATAACTAATATAGCGCTATAACCTAGGGCATGGTACATGCTATCTTTAGACCTATTTTGAAAATAAAGTAGAAAGACAGTGATAAGAAAGCTAATTACAGTCAAAAATAAAAGTGAAATTTTACATAATTTTTACAATACAGTTTATTTTTAAAATGCTACTTTGTGTTCAACATAACATTTTGAGCCAAACCTATAAAATTATTAAAATTATGCATTTTCCTTATTTGGGAATATTTTGGAGTCCAATCTTCTTTATTATTTGCTTTTCAAATAATATGTGAATTCCAGTATATATCAAAATATGAGCTAAAATATTAATTTTAAGTGAAACAATCAGGAACACTTTTGCCTGAGGTTCCCAACCTTGCAATATTGTGATGATCTCTCTCCCATTAAAGTAATTGTTTCATGAGGCAAAGTGCTGGCAAGAAATCAGTATGTCATTTTTAATAATTAAAATTTAGTCCTTTTATATCAAAAAATAAAAACTTACCACTCTATAAAACACTGAAAACAAAAATACACTTTGTTTTGTGACAAACTGACAAGTCTGAATGAATAAATTTTAAATATTTTGTAAAATAAATACAAATGGGAGTATTTTAAAAGTTCATTTTAAAAATCATACTTTATAACAAGACTAGCTTAAAGAACACAGAATCAGGTGAAAAACTATATTCAGTGATATTCAAAGGTCTGAATTTGACTATCATGTCTAAAGCAAAATTTAGGGACCTTTCTCTGACAGTTTAACAAATTCTGTTTTAGAAAATGGGATTAAATAGTTGTAAAACAAATATTTTAGGCAAGAACAAAAATTGAAATTATATTATTCAGAGACCTTAAATACATTTCTTGCTACCAGATAAAAGCTCCAGCAAACAAAACTCACCATGGACGAAGTAATTCCAGTGCTTCTGAAAATTTATTGTTAAGAAATAAATTTAATGCCATTGAACACTCTTCCAAAGCACATTTAAGATCCATTTTTGCAGCCCTAATAAACGCACAAACAGAAAAAAAATTCATTACACTTACATCATTACTAACACTGTTCTGTTGTTTAATATGGTCAGATTCTCAATGTTCGATCTAGACAAGATTAAATTGAAATAATATAGAGTCTGTTGACTAATTATTATAACATAAAATATTTGTGATTCGTACTTCATCCAGTTTAGAGTATTATCCTCTCAAATTTTAGGGTCAGAGGGAGCACTGTACGTGTAGTACTATTTTCTTGCCCCATTCCCTTAAAAGATAGATAGGTAGGTAGGTAGGTATAGATTACTCCAGATAAAATTCTATATATTGCAGCAGATTGTAGTCTATAAATATTTATATCATGATATAATATCTGACTGCTACACAATTGTTATTTACATTGCAGCAGATTAATGAAGCTAATGAAGCCTGAGAAATAGGAAAGTTGGGCACTTAATTACAGGTAAGAAATCAGAAACACTGGTGCTCATAAGCTTAGAACAGCTAAGAAGCCATTATGAAAGAATTCCAGCAATTGCTGGTCTATTTTTATACTGTAATTGGTGTTCCAATTCTTGCACCTCTTTCTCCTGCTTGTCCTAGATAAAGAGCTAAAAAAGCAATCCTTTCTGGAGTGGGAGGGAATTTCCATCTGTTCTTGTTTTGGCAATGGCAAAGCTGGTATCCTGTATGCTTCCCACACAGACTGATATACACTGCCTATTCAGTTCGTCCTAGGAATAGAAGTAGCTAATGAAACCATGGAATTTTGATCTGCACTATTATGTCCAGCCTGGGATTCCTGGCATTTTATTCTCTTGGACTTTGGAATCCAGGTGATTAAGAGAGATCTTTAAGACTTCAAAAGATTTTTCTGCGCAATTGCTGCATAGGAAAGCTTGTGGTAGAGGTCTCCAAAAAATCAGTGTAACCGGTTGTATGTTCCAGAAAGGTAACAAAATCAAATCTTCCAAGCTGTGAAGATGTGTCCCTGATGGATAGAATGGGGACTTCGACTCAGAATGCAAAAAATAGGTTAGAACAACAAGGCAAGGCAACATGGTGAACCATGGCTTCTGAGGCTAGTAAGGTGAGAAAAGAATGAAGTTGGTTAAATCTTTGTTGATTTTCACCAGAACTCTAAAGGTAGAATGAGCGAAAACATGCAGAAAGAAAATTGTTTTTTTCTAAAAGGAAGAAGTCACTAACAATTGAGGGTCTATCCCATCTCTTAAAAAAAAATATTGATATTTTTCTTACAGTGCACATAGATTAAATGTGACTGCCCAGTGGGATTTGACAGCATTTATTTCCATTTTTGGCTAGGTTTCTGGAATAGCTGAGCCAATCAGGGAGGATATTACTATATCCAGGTTTATAGTTTACCATTACTATTTCTTTTTAGACCAGACTATTGTGAGACTGTCTAATATCATCTGGCCACTCTGGTCATGGCATAGGACTAGAAAAGTGACCATAACACTGCCTTCTCTATTGAGAGACACTATGTTCATATATCTCAATGCTTCATGGCTGGAGTATGTATTTCAGATATAAAGAGCCTGGACACAAGCTCTTCATCTTTATATAGATGCACATAGGTTGAGGAGGGATGTGTGAAAAAAAAACTACAAGTGAAATTGTCTGAAATCAGCTACTAGAAGGAATCCGTGATGAAGGATTGAACTAAGAAGAAAACTTACTTGATCTCTCTTCTACAATTGAAAAGAGAGTGGCTCATATTCATCCACAGTAAAAAACAACACTCAAATAGTATCAATACATTATTCAATCTCACAACACCAATTTATCTTCCTTAGACTCTCCAAAATAACTTTATTTTTAATCGTGGGAGTGGGAGAAGAAGAGTGGAGGGTAGACTGAATCCCTGCGGAAGACTATTTCAGAGAATAGAAGATTCTGCTATAAGCCTTTGCATATGCCTGTGCCTTACATCCTGAAAATGGGAAATTTCAAGCAAGTTCTCTTAAGATGTTTGAGTCGGATAAGTTGAAACTAGGTACAGAAAGTGATCCTAAATATTTTGGTGCCAAGCCATGTAGGGCATTGATGGTCAAAATAAAAATTCTGAATTGCAATCAGAAACAAATATGGAACAGAGTGTACATAACAGAGAGTATATACATTTCAATCAATAAGAATAGTGGCTGTCCAGTCTTTTCTTAAAAACCTACAATGGTGAAGCACCCACAACTTCTGAAAGCAAGCTGTTCCAGTGGCTAATTGTTCTCACTGTGAGGAAGTTTCTCTTTAATTCCAGGTTGCTTCTCTCCTTGATTAGTTTCCATCCATTGTTTCTTATCTTGTTTCTTGGTGATTTGGAAAATAAGTTGTCCCCATCCTCTTTGTGGCAATCTCTAAAATACTGGAATACTGCTATCATGTCACTTGTCCTTCTTTTCTCTAGACTAACCATATCCAGTCCCTGCAACCATACTTATACGTCTTAGTCTCCAGGTGTTTAATCAACCTAGTCTCTCTTTTATACAGTTTTTCCAAAGTCTCATCATCTTTTTTGTAAGGTGGTGACCAAAACTGGATGCTGTATTCCAGGTGTGGTCTTACTTAACATGTATAAATACATTCAGAAAAAAACTCTCATGGATTATGAAACAGGCAAATGATAAGATCCTACAGTAAATAGATTCATCAGAGCTAAGGTAGTAATGAGAGTAGGGTTTTACAGATACGTACAGTATGCATCTGCTAACCCCCCTGCAAATTTATAGAAGAAAACCACAGCCTCTTCTGCAAGTGGGAAGCGTGGAAGCAACTGATATTATCTTGAAGCAACACTTTCAAAAAATAGTTGAAATAGAAAAGATCCAACGCAATATGAGGTCACAATCCTCCTTAGGAACGATAAAGTATTTAGGCAAAAGAATAGTTCCCCCATAATTAAATCCTCAATAGCCCCTTTTCATAAAAAGGGAGAAACATTCTGGCATAACTCTGGAGATACTTTAGAAGTGACAGGATGATCCCCAAATAATTGACACTCAGAGAAGTAGGTACAGAAACCCATGTACTTTTAAAATAATCTTAAAAATAAGATAAGCACTTCTTATATGAAAGTACAGTACAGCAAAGTCAATTAAGTATTTAGAATGATGGGCTTTTGCAACTGAAAGTGTAATTGGTTTCTTCTGCCTGAGTTATGAGCAGGGCCAGAGATGTATTTGGGGAAAGTATGAAGTAGGGTTGTTGCAGCCTCAATTTATTCACTGCTATACAATGCTGCTAAAAATAGTTCAAAGTATCATCAGTCTTCTCAGGGAATAATCTGTCCCTAAAGAAGGAAAGGTCTCAGATTCCTGTTCCAGATATACCCCAACTAGATTAGAATGCCTAATTTCATTTTAGAAGGATATAGACAAATAGTAAATTACTGCAGAGGAAAAAAGGATGCACAGCAGGTTGGATAAACTAGAGCCATGGAAAATATTAAAGAATTATGTATGTACAGACTGGACAAGAGTAAACCGAGCTGCTAATGATGGCATTGTACTCATATTTTGAAAGATAGTTAAGTAAAAAATTAACTCTGCTGACCAGAAAGAGGGCTATATTTCATGTTTTTAATTAAAAAATAGATTTCATCTAAACACTAAAAAATCTTTATAAATCAAGGATTTCAACAACAGAATTATTGCTTAAAAGAGTATAGGCTTTTTTTTAGTGGAGTTTTTCAAGTAGAGACATGATATGTATATTGTCTCAGGTTTTAAACTTCCTGAAATAAGCAGGAGATTCCACTAATGACACCAAACAGGCCACTTCAAATTCTAAATTGTACTGCTATTTTCAAACAATTATGAACCATACTATTATCCCCCTTTTCCCTTTCTCTCCTTCACCAACACCATCTATGAGTCCATACATGCACTTTCTTCTCTACCAAGTATGTACTGGATCCAGGATACACACTTCATTTTTTCTACCGATATATAACATAGGGCAACATCTTCTTCAAATACCGTGATATTTAGGCTATGTAGAAGAAACAAAGAAAACCCATGCAATCATTAGAAAAAGATGTCTGAATCACACTTGCTAAATACAAACCTACTCTTTTAATTTTGTATGTTTTTCAGTAAAAATTATGAAATAAATAAAAGTTGGTATCAGCTGACAGATTTTCAGCCAAAGAACATGAAGAGATTAAAAAATAAATAAAAAGTGAATTCTCATAATAGGATCAAAATGCTTCAGATATTTTTAATATTTTGAAAAATATATTGTTAATACTTTACTGTAGAGCTGATTTTTATTCTCATGATCTTTCTTTAGAACTACCATATTTTTTTATTTTTAAATTCATAGCATGGAAATGTAAAGTTCTCTTGAAGAGGTTTTTCAGGACAAATGGGAACCAAACAAAAGTAATAATTTCAGACTACAGTATTACCTCAAAGAACCATCAAGTTCTCTCCTTAGTATGCCCACGAATTTTATGGGAGGCCCAGATAATCTTCCCTCATTGTTTCTCTATTTCTTCTGCCTTATTTTGAACTAAGAAGAAAATTCTAAGAGTATAATGAAATGGATTTATAACACTAGGAACTCTTTTTTCTGTAGCTACATTATTAGCTTTTTGGAGAAAATAATATTTTTAATATTCAAATTATATTTTGATCCTGCTAGAAAATATAACTATAATTCACTAGCCATATAGTATATCCAGTATAATTTTACTGCTGTGGCAATTGTTAGTTAGCATCTCTGAAGTTACAAATATACCTTTCAAGCTAGTTGAAGCAAATCTTTTAAAAACTAATATTTCTCTGGTTTATTAAACAAATATTGAGGAGTAGTGCTACAAAAACATTTTCTTTTCTCTCTTCTTTTAATCCATTTTAGAGCAATTTGTTCCTGTACTCTATTATTGGAGATTCATATTCCCTTTTATAAAAGGGGAAATTAACAAAAAGATAATTCCTACAGCAAGACTACTTTCAGTTTTATTCATAATACATTAAGTTACATATCCAT